GCTTAATGCCCATGGTTACGCTGTGAGGTCCCTCAGCCCTCTGATTTTATAGACAATGTAACCACATACCCTTTTGTGTCAGCACCAGGGCTGAGCCTTGTGATTATCTGATTTCCCTTCCCAGTTGTCAAGCACAGAGCTAACTGGGAGGGGACATGGGGTACAACTGAAGATCATATCGCCTGCCTTCTTGAATCATATCAGAGTCCCTGGATCGTGGGAGAATTCTCTGCTCCCTTGGCTTCTGACCTCTCTGATCTAGGTCCCACCATGTTCTCCTCGTATCTAATAACTCCTCCTCTGACCCCTTCACTGGGGCACTTTTTCCCAGGGCTTTCTTAGGCAGAGGGACGGTCCCCTAAAGTCCCCATTTTCAATACTCTTTTCACATATTCACTTAAACTTGTCAGGCCATAGGGACAAAGGGACAAAACTGTTAAGAGCATAGACCCCAAGAGTTCTCATCGCAAGGAAAAAATTTTTTTCTTTTTTTGTGTCTATCTGAGATGATGGATGTCAACTAAACTTATTGTGGTAATTTCACAATATTTGTAAGTCAAATCATCATGCACTATGGGAATGTAAATTGGTGCAGCCACTATGGAAAGCAGTATGGAGGTGTCTCAAAAAACTAAAAATAGAACTACAATATGACCCAGTAAGTCCACTTCTAGGTATCTGAAAAAAAGGAAAACTCTAATTTGAAAGGATACATGCACCCCAATGTTCATAGGAACATTATTTACAAACTGCCAAGATATGAAAGCAACCTAGTGTCCACCAACAGATGAATTGATAAAGAAGATGTGAATGTACATGAGATTTGGTATACCTGGAATACAACTAAGCCATAAAAAAGAATGAAACTTTGCCATTTGCAACAACATGGATGGACTTGGAGGGCATTATGGCAAGTAAAATAAGCCAGACAGAGAGGGGTGGGTATAGCTCAGTGGTAGAGCACATGCCTAGCATGCATGAGGTCCTGGGTTCAACCCCCAGTACCACCATTAAAAAATAATAAATAAATAAACCTCATTTCCTGCTCCCCCTGAAAAAAAAGTTTAAAAAAAGTCAGAGAAAGACAAATACTGTATGACCTCATTTATACGTGGAATCTGAAAAAATAAAACAAACTAGTGCATATAACAAAAAAGAAACAGACTCACAGATACAGGGAACTAGTGGTTACCAGTGGGGAGAAGGAAGTGGGGAGGGGCAAGATAGGTGTAAGGGATTAAGAGGTACAAACTACTATGTATAAAATAAACTACAAGGATATATAGAACAACACAGGGAATATAGCCAACATTTCATAATAACCATAAATGGAAGATAACCTTTAAAAACTGTGAATCACTATGTTGTACACCTGAAACTTGTATAATATTGTACATCAACTGTTATCTCAACTTAAAAAAACAAACAAGATCATTGCCCTCAAAAGGCATTAAGTGGAACCTAACAAATTGGCAGCCATGATGACACAGCCAGGGTAGCAGCTGTTTTGGTAACTTCACCTATTACCTTTCCTTCAAGACTATCCCACCTCCCATCTCTAGCCTGAATATAAAACTGCTGCTGGATAGGTCCCCTAATGTCCCACCTGAACTAATCACCTCCTCAACTTGTAGTCACCTATTAGTGTTCCTTATCTTGATTGCCTTGATTACCCACCCATGTTCTGACCAAGCTAAGAACATGTGTGTCCACCTCTATCCTACCCTCTCCATCTAGCTAGTTATACGGCATCAAGTCCAGGTGAATCTACATCCATGTCTCTTTTTCCATCGCCTGCTCTTGTTTTGGTTGTCAGTTTTCCTCCCCAGTCCATCCTCTACTTTGCTCCCAAGAGAGCCTCTGATCAGGGGGGGTCACTGATACAAAACTACTCAGGATGTTATATTTTGAAATTTTTCATAATAAAATTCTAGTGGAAAAGCATTTAGTGTAATGATGCAAACAACAGAAGACTTCATAGTATAATAACCCAAACATTTAATTTTCTAAAGACTAACATGATATTTTTTCCTAATAATTTTTAAAATGCCCATTTCATTACGTCTTCTGTAGTTAAGTTTATATAAAGTAAACACAACTGGTTATGTATATTAAAAAAACACTTCACTCAAACTAGATTAAGCAAGAAAGGAATTTATTGGGGGATGAGAAGAGGGGAAATTGGATGAAGGTGGTCAAAAGGTACAAACTTCCAGTTATACGATAAATAAGTACTAAGGATGTAATGTACAACATAATGACCAAAGTTGTATGGTATACTGGAAAACTGTTAAGAGCATAGACCCCAAGAGTTCTCACTGCAAGGAAAAATTTTTCTCTTTTTTTGTATCTGAGATGATGGATGTCAACCAAACCTATCGTGGTAATTAATACTTTCACAATATTTGTAAGTCAAATCATCATGCCGTACACCTTAAACTTATACAGTGGTATATATGAATTATATCTCAATAAAACTGGAAAGGAAAAATAGGAATTTATTGGCTCATGTAACTTTAAAGTCCAGGGTTCAAACGGTATCATCAGGACCCAATTTCTCTCTCAGACCCTTGGCTCCACGCTCAGATATGTCTTCATCTCTGAATACAGAATTGCATTCTTTCAGATTTCTGTCCAGGGGAGAGAGCACTTCCCTCCATTCAGCAAGAGAACAAAGCCCTGGGCTTGGCTCCCATTGGCTCAAATTGAGTCACACGGCTACCCTAGACCAATCACTATGACCAGAGGGATGACAGTGATGACTGGTTTAGCTCTAAATCACCAGGTAACTTAAGGATGGAATAGAGCCAGTTACCCCGGAATCATTTTCCTGAGAGTAGCTACAGTGTGGGACCCCCAAAATGTGGGGACTGTTACTGGAATTAGGGTGAATGAATGCTGAGAAACTCACAGCTTGCTCCTTATCTTTCTCATTTTTCCTGAAAATTCCCTTCACAGACCAGCAGAGGTCTTCAGCAAGCATGTCAGAACCAATATTAAAACACAGGCTTTTCACTGTCCCAGGCTCCAACTTGAGCTTGGTCTCACACTCTCCCCATCTGCCACCCAGGGATGACCGAATCCCCCTTGAGGAGAAACTGGCCGGTCCCACAGGGTCCATCACTGAGCTCCAGGTTGGGGTGAGGTCAGTCTGCAGGTAGTCTTGGACATTCCTCAAGTGCTGGGATTTGGAGAAAGAGGCAAAGTTAGAAATAGGAGTGGGGAGGTTTATTAATTTCCTATTGATGCTGTAACAAATTACCACAAACTTAGTGCCTTAACACAATACAAATGTATTATCTAACAGTTCTGGAGGTTAGAATGCTGTCTCATTAACAAAAAACAAGGCAGAATTGCATTCCTTTTTGGAGGATCTACGGAAGAATCCATTTCATTGCCTTTTCCAGCTTTGAGGCCCCCTGCATTCTTGGGCTCATGACCCCCTTTCATCTTCAAAGCCAGCAATAGCTGGTTGATTCTTTCTCAATCACATACTCTGACTGACTCTTCAGCCTCCCTCTTCCACATGATTCCTGTGATTACACTGGGCCCAGCCAGATAATCCAGGATAATCTTATTTTAAGGACTGCTAATTAACTACCTTAATACCATCTGCAATCTTAATTTCCCTTTGCCACATAGTATAACATACTAGCAGTTCCCCAAGGATTAGGCTGTAGACATTTTGGGGGTGGGAGGCCTCCCCCAACAAGGGCCACTGTGTCCTGGGACCAGTTCTTAAAGTGAACAGAGGGGACTCTCTTCTGGGAGCTGTGGGGTAGAGGATGTTAGGTAGATACCCTAGCTCAGTCCTAGCTGCTGTTCTCACTAGGCCACTGACCTGAGTTAGAATTGGGAAAGCAGCTCAGTCAGGAAGAAAGAAATGTGACATCACCAGGGTGAGTGTGGACCTTCCCAAAGGGTAGCTGGGCTTTGAGGTATGCTGAGAATCTAGGAGAACCTGTGCAGGTTACTAGTGATGCTGCTTAAGTCAACAGAAGACTGGGAAGGAAAAGTATGATGGCCTGGCAGCCCAGCAGCTGGGAGAGGGTATCCGTTTTAATTATCCAGCAACTACTAACCACCCCACTGGGGAAGAGAAGTGGAGGGTCGTGACCTGCAGCCAGAGGAGACTGAAGCTCAGACAGGGCTAACCCTCTCTGAATGAAGCAGTCTTTCTCGCTTCACTCAAGTAGCTTCTGGGCTTCGGCATCAGATGGACTGTATTCAAATCCCACTGTGTCACTTATAAATTGTGTGAACCTGGGAAAGTGGCCTAATTTTTCTGAGGCTCTCATTCCTTATCTATTAAATAAGAATGATATCACCATGTTCTTCATATGACTAATAGGAATTAAAAGTTCTTTTAAAAAAAGTTCTTATGTACATTCTAGAGGAGAAGACTGTTATTTAGTCTGAAAGAAGCCCCAGCATGGATTGGTGATAAGGCTAATGTTAAGAGTATGAGTCCTTTTTTTCCTGGAATTTATTTTGACTTTTTAAAATTTATTTAATCTCAGTATAGACGGTTTACAATGTGTTAATTTCTGATGTACAGCATAGTGATTCAGTTATACACACATAAATATTCCTTTCCATATTCTTCTTCATTATAGGCCATTACAAGGTATTGAATAGTTCCCTGTGCTATACAGTAGGACCTTGCTGTTTATCTATTTTATACATAGTAGTTAGTATCTGCAAATCCCAAACTCCCAAACTCCCACTTTATCCCTCCACCCCTCCTTCCCCTCTGGTAGTCTTGACAGACATGGGGTTGAATTTGTCCTTAGCATAACTAGCTGTGTGAGTTTTTTGGACAAGATACTTAACCTACATAAGCCTCAGTCACAGAATACATCTATTATGTACCAAATCTGAGGCAAGTAGCTTCTTGCTATGTGAAGTGGGGAAAATATTAGTACCTATTAGTACCTCATTCCTAGGGTTGATGTAAACTTGAAGTTAGATGCTCATAAGCAACTTGATTCAGTGCCTTGTGTGTAGGAGCTTCAATCAAATGTTAGGTTGACTCAACACATTTGGAGGGGTTGGGAGGATTAGAGTGTGGAGAATGGGGAGCTAAATTGATTGGAAAGGACACTGAGATGTCCTCGGTGATGTTGTGGGCATCCCTGAGGACAGCCCTCAGGATCTAGGTTGGGGACGGTATGACCGGCAGGCTCACCCAGTGTAGACACAGGCTGGCTGGCCTCTGGCCAGCTCAAGGTGTTTCCCTTCGCCTGGAAACGGAGAGGTGTGGCTAAGGCAGGGCATGTCTCAACTGAAAAGTGGTGGAAAGGAGTCCCGCTCTTGGACCTTTCCGGCTCCCAATAATGCGGGACACCAGCTCCCCTGGGCTATAGGAGACAAGTGAGTGGGGAACTTACCTGGGAAGAGCATTTCAGGACTGAGGGCTTGTAAAAACATCTTGGGTGCTTCTTGCCTGCTGGGAGCCTGGGGTTCGGGCCCACTCCTGGGCCAAGAGGTGAGGTGGGAGCTGAACTCCTTAGAAAGAGTTCCTCAAAGCCATAGGCACGCACGCAGGGGCTCCTACTGTGAACCAGACCCCGGGTTACCAGGCTGCAGGGATGGTGGTGGAGATAAGAACAAAATGTATCCAGCCCCCATCTCTACCCCAGGTCTGGACCAGGACGAGGCCCCAGCGACAATACCTGCCACCTGAGCTTCAGACTATGTACACATACTGCTGCCTGGCTCCCGGGGAGGACGTTTGGCCTCTGCTACAGCCCCTCACCTACACTTACCTGCCGGCCCCACTGCTGCTGCCCCCCATCCAGGCCCACAACTTCTGCAGCCGGCACCAGAATCTGAGCGCCAGGGGGTGGGCGGCTCCGCAAGAATACCACTGCTTCCACGGCGTCAGTGCGCCCCTGACAGTCGTGCCGCCCTTTTGGGCCTTTCCGCAGGCCTACTCCGCCGCCCTACAACCGCCGTTCCTCGCGCCCGGCTACAACCGGGCGTTGCGGCAGGAACCCGAGGCAGCAGGGCTGGTGGCTACCGAAAGCTGGGCACCGTGGCCAGAGGGAGGCACCCTGCAGGCTGAGCTGTGCTGGGGCCGCGTGGAGCGCGCACTGGGCCAACGCCTCGAGTTGCCGGACTCCGTGCGC